ATGGACTGATTCTTATACAGCACTTTTTTATTCTCCTGAAGTATTCATCGTGCTTTACACAGCATGCTACACTCACCCAAGCACTTTCTTCTATGATTGTAAGTGCTTACTAACTCACATCCATAATCTGCTGGGTGTATCAAAGGGCAATTTAGGATTAATATCTTGCCAAAGGATATTCGGCATGCAGGCCAGAGGGAGCCAGGGATCAAACCACCAACTACGATAAGTAGATGCGCTGCTCTACCCCAAAATGCCTGCAAAAAAGGAAAATATTTACCCATTTTGTGATCATTTTTTTAATTGATGATCATAGAGGCTATCTTTTTACTGTCAGTAAGCTGGCATAATGACTTAATTTTAGGTTTGACAGGTTTGTGAGTTTACACTTTATCCAAAACCTAGTGATGGTTTACTCATTTTTACCACTGGGTAGCTGTAGCTCAGGAGGTAGAGCAGGTCACCTAGTGATGGGAGGGTTAGTGGTTTGATTCCTGGCTTCTCCAGTCTGCATGTCATTAGTGTCAATGTGTGTGAATGTAGTTAAGAAGCACTCAGTCTAGAAAAAGTGTGCGATTAGGAGTACGTGCCATCTTGTGTAGAGCATTTGCAGTAATCAGGCCATTCGCTGTCTGGACAGAGTATCATCTTGTTACGTTTGCACTATTATGTTCTGGCACATGTTTCTATTACATAGCTTGATTAAGGTACACATTAGGCTGACATCTGGGCAAAAGCTGAAACTGTTCTCGTCCAGCAGTGTGTCAGCAACTGCCCCGTGGCTGCACACAACTTGCACATGGCCCACATACCACAAAGAATGACGGCCCTTTGATGGCCCAGATCAGGTTTGCCAGAGGCCCACACATGGGCCAGCACAGGACCACCAGTGTGTCTGCAACTGACCTTGTGCTTGTGCACGTTGTGCAACCTTCAGCGTTCAGAGTTAGAAAGATGTCTTTTCAGTGTCTTTCTGACCAAATTATTAAAAAAATAGTAATACATATTATTATTTTAAAGCTAATTATTAACCATGTAGCATATATGAAACTCAGTATAAACAGGTGGTGCCAGTACTACATCAATGGCAACATTTTCATTCAGTTTGAATCTGTTTTGATGTTTTTATTTTAAATTCTTAAATTGGCCACAAGATTTTGTTCCCTGTGAAGTGAACCTAAACATCCTCTTGTGATCTGACTGGGCTTATATAATGTTAAACGCATGTATATTATTATTATACATATTTAAATATTGTAAAAATGCAATTTCAACAGCACATTTCAGTTTTTCTACATGACAAGTGTGTAAAAGTACAGAAAAATCTCTTGTAGCTCACTGCCCAGATCTCCTGTATGTATGAAACCTTATATCTTTATTTGACTGATGAAAACGTTCATTTTTTTACTGGAATTTCTGTTGTACACAGTAAAAGGTTTTTTCTGTCATTTAACTGTTTATCTAATACCTAACTACTTTGGTGTAGTACAAATGGCTCTTGAGGAGCAGGAAAAGTTGTACACCTATAAGAAGTCCATAAATGCATGCCATGCACATTTTCCAAAACCATCCAGCAGACCAGATTGGAGTCTCTGTCGGGTCAGTTCTGGCCCCCAGGACTTATGTTTGACACCCCTGATGTAAACGATGCTGTGGAAAACTGTAGCTGCAGAAAAAAACAGGTTGTCTCTTTTTAAAACCCTTGTTCTGATGATACACTGAGTTGGACTCATATACAGCTGTGCTTCTGATCCCTGTTTAAAATGCTGCTGATTGGTTCATTACTCATGGTGATAGTAACTTAAGTTTTATACACTATGTGTGCTTATTACGTTATAATATATCCCTCCACATTTCTTTTTTCTTTTGTAAATTCAGCAATATATTAAATGTATAAAAGGTATCTCTGTTTGTGTAAGAGCCCTTAGTGTTGAAATTAAATATTACTCTTGAGAAATGTAAGTGTCATCATCTTCAATCTGGCTGATAGACTTTGAGGTAAGCTTATGTGCCTTTGAATGTAATGATCAGTGAAATGAATAAAAATGTCTAATAAGGCAAGTGAAAATGTAGAAAAATAAAATGTTTAAACATTAAATTGTAGAAACATGCAGTGGAAAGGTTTGGTCTGAAGATTTTGAGTGTGTGGTCATTCATGCAAACATCAGTGACTAAAAATTTACATATTCTTGGATACTGAAACAAATGCAGGAGTAAAGTATGAGACTGGTAGTGATTAGAAGAAAACTACAGAGACAGTAAGTCAGTCTACCTGCCAATTACTGCGTTTTATTAATGCCACAATACATTTGACTTGGATACTTTCTTAAGCCATGAGTGGGACTCATAGTTGGAGCTTCATTGGTAAGTTAAAGTATCTTAAACTTTCTTTAAGAAAAAATAAAGTTAAAATGAAGATGATGGAATTTAATGTACACATCAGTGAGATCATTGAAAAAAATAACTCCTTTTTTTAAATATCTTTCAAATGTCGGTATGTTAACAGGCATTTCCATCATGTTAACATTAACATCTGGAACACTGGCAGGTAAATTTTTCTTCTGCAATCAAAACATTCTCGTCCACATTTGTTAAGTGCAAACTATCACAAGTTTGCAAAAATTAAAAAAATAAAGATTTTTATTTAGAAAACACAGCCAATAATTGAGCAAAGTTTCATTCTTAATAAAATGAATCCGTCTCAGTTCAGGCAAATACAAATATAATAACTACTAATTTGACACTGGACCTTGATTTATCTGTATCTATATATTTATATGTATATTGCTTATTCCGAGCAAAAATGTAAAAATAGCCCTCTATGTTTTCATTAATATTTTTTTTAATCACTTAGGTCAACTCCTTTACAACTGGCACTGAAACAAAAAGCTGTCCAATCTTCAACCAGTGGCACTGTGGGTATTGCTGGTAAGGCAGTTGATGGAAACAGAGACGCAAACTATCAAAGTGGGTCTTGCACACTTACCAATGCAGAATCTGATCCCTGGTGGAGAGTAGACCTGGTAAATGTGTATACAATTGGGACTGTAATGATAACCAATAGACAGGAATTGGAAAATGGGCTGGATGGTGCCGAAATCTGGATCGGAAATTCAATAACAATCAGTGACCCTGAAAGCATCAGGTGACAGAGCTTGATTGATAACCGTAAGTCATTATTTATCATATCAATAGGACTTATTTATATTTATTCTTTACTTTTTCTTTTTGAATGTTTCATACACAGGTGTGCTGTCATCTCTCACATTCCCAAAGGACAAGCGTTTTATTTTCCATGTAACTCTGTGAAGGGACGCTACGTCACTGTGTTTTTACCAGGAAGTGCAAAGGTCCTAAGTCTCTGTGAGGTTGAAGTGTATTATGGTAAATACTTTCAATTCTGATGCAGATAAAACTGCAATTTACTGAGTCAAAAAACAAATGACAGCTTTCATGTCAGGGTGTTTTTAATTTCTAACAACATTACAATGTCACGTCTGCCATGGCAGATGAGTGGAGGTTGAAAGTTAGGACGCAAGACACAGGCAGCTTCAGATGCAGGTGAGCTTTATTAAACTGGTAAGTGAAACAAACAAAAACTTAGCAGGCGAGAAACAGAAGCAAAGAAATTTATACTGGGAGAAACAAACAAAACACTGAACTGAAACCGGGATGCAGGGAGACGCGGGAAGATGACACAGAATGAGGCAGGGAAAAAACACAGACGAGCCAGCAACGAGGACGAGATGACACACAATATAAATACACAGACAGGAACATGAGGGAACAAGGAACAGGTGGCAACCCCGGTGGAACTGATTGGGCACAACGAGACAAGGAAGCAAAACAGAATAGACTAACATGAGACACAGACCTTCAGAGTAAAACAGGAAATATACAGAGATGCAGACTGGAGGGAACACTGAGAAACACAAGGAAGAGTGCAGACATGACACGCTGGATAAACATGGAAAACATAACAGAATGAAAAACAAACCACGGCACGAGAACTCACACAACAATATAACACAGACACATGGGGAGACAGAGGGCAGAGACACAAGGCGGAATCCAGTAAAATAAAATAAACAACCTAGGAACCATGGAATAAATCATGGACTAAAAAAGTAGAAAAACACAAGAAACCTAAGAACGCTGGGTCAAAATGACCAAGGACTGTGACATGCAATTATTCTTTGTGTTTTTATTATAATCAATAAGAGTTGTCAGAGCCCAAACAAAAGAAATTATTGTTTTCTTGGTTTTCCTTCAAGGATACCCATTACCCAATGTGGCACTCAAAGGAGAAGCTACCCAGTCATCTACACTCTCTTTTGCCACTGCGTCCAAAGCCATCGATGGCAGACGGAACTCGTTCTATAGCAATGGGTTCTGTAGCCACACGGCTGAAGACGAGACCAACCCCTGGTGGAGGGTGGACCTGCAGCGAAGCTTTACAATCACTGCTGTAAAAGTCACCAACAGAGGAGACTGCTGTGCTGAAAGACTGGATGGAGCTGAGATCAGAATAGGAAACTCACTGGAGAACAATGGAAACAATAATCCCAGGTAATGATGACTTTATATCAGTCAATGTTCATTGTGATTTTTTTCTTTGTTTGTTTTATTTTAGAATAACTTGAACAGCAATGTTTCAGCAATTAGAATATGCATATTATCGACCACAGGACTAGTTAATTACTTGATGTTACTTTCTCCTTAACATGAAGTCCATAATACTAACATAATGCTGCCCCCACACTCTCTGTTGTCAGGTGTGCTTCCATCTCACATATCAAAGCGGGTAAAACCTACACATACCGGTGTGATGGAGGTAGCATGGAGGGTCGCTTTGTGAATGTTTTTCTTCCTGGACAGAAGAAGACTCTCACCCTGTGTGAAGTGGAGGTGTATGCTGCCCCAGCAGGTAGAGCTTTAAGTGACTGGATCTGATCTACTGAAACACATCTGCCTGATACTGATTCATACTTGTTTCTTCTTTTCAACAATTTAGTTGAACCGCTTCCAAATGTGGCCTTGAACAAACAAACAGTACAGTCATCAACTTGGTATGGGCCAGTGTTTGGGCCTTCAAAAGGTGTCGATGGGTGCAGGAATGGAAACTTCAACATGAGATGCTGTTCTTGTACTGTAGAACAGCTGGGTCCCTGGTGGAGAGTAGACTTACTGGCTGTGTATAAAGTCAGTGCTGTCACCATCATCAACAGACAAGACTGTTGTCCTGAAAGGATTCTTGGGGCACAGATCCTGATCGGGAACTCGCTGGATCAAAATGGTAACCAAAACCCCAGGTGAGATCTGATTTCTGATAAATGTAACTTTCTCCATTAACATTAAATTCAATATTTTTTTGTTTATGTCAGAGTTCATGATACAAAAATAAGAAAGAGATTAAGTAAAAATGTCATCCATAAGAGAGATCCAAGGGAAAAGACACTGCTGACCAAAATCCCCCTTCACAAAACATGTTGATGATCCCCAAGACACAGCCCATTGTTTGCCAGCGATGCCAGTTTAAGTCATTATGCAAATGTAGTGTTTTTAAGGTTGAGGAAACCTGCAGTCAACTGAGACTGAAGAAGTCACTTGAATGAGTGACAAAACATTTCTTCCACTGAAAACGCTACATCCAGATTTGAAGGATTTGATCTAAGCATTGATTCTGTTCTATACCATAAAATCCTGAAGAAAAAACAAAACAAAACTTAACAAAAAATACCCCAAACCCAAACCAAATAACAGTTCTGGAGTGGCCTAATCAAAGGTCAAACTTTTAATCACATTGAGATGCTTTGGCATAACCTGCACTTCGGTGAAAGATCAATTGTTTGCTGAACATGACACTTCCATGCTCAAAAATCCTCCAATGTAGCTTAATTAACACAATTCTGCTGAGAAGATTGGGCCAACATTACTCCACAGTGATGTCAAAGACTTATTGCCAGTTATCACTAATGCTTGAGTGCAGTTTGTGCTGCCAAAAACAGGCAACAGGCAATTTACTACATATTTTACTGAATGTAGAGTCACAATAGCAGCACCTAGTTCACCCCTGATGTGTTTGCAAAAGTTTCTTCTAGGAGTGTTAATTTATTTTGAATGAAAAGTGGAGAGGTTATTAGAACAATTGACTAATTAATATGAGTTAATGGCTCAAATATGTATGTACAGTATAGACCTTGCATGTCCGCCTTATGTCAGCCCGAAAAGTATTTCTGCCCTTTCTGATTTCAGTTACATGTTTTGTGCCTTCAAATAAAATGTAATAATAGACAAAAATAATGAGTAAATACAAGAAACTGTTTATTTAGCTAAGAATTAATTCATTAGGAGAAAAGAAGCTAACTAAATCTACCTGGCCTTGTGCCTAAAAGTCATGGCTCTTCCTTGTTCAGTCATGAGTTAACTTTGATCAACTATAAACTGTACTAAGCTGAGTTTAATGTCAATGGAAAGGTTCTTATATAAAGCTTTTCTACTCTTCAGAGCAGTTTCTGTTGGCTAGCCAACAGAAAATACTCAAAAAGTATATATGCATTCATCTGCATGTCAAAAAAGAACCCAGATCGATATACAAAGAACTGCAGGTTTCACTTGTTTCAGTTAAGGTCAGATTTTGTGATTCATCAATAAGAAAAAGACTGAAAAAAATGCCATCTATGTGCGACTGCAAGGAGAAAACCACTGCTGACCAAAAATAACACAAAGTCTCTTCTCACATTTGCCAGTAAACAGGCAACTTCAGTTTTGCTCTTTCATGTGATAATGTGCCTTCTCCTTGCCTCCAGTTGACTCAGCAGCCTGTGAGTCTGTCACCCACGTTACTTGTAACTGCTAACTCCGGTGAAAAGAAAAAAAAAACAAACTTAAATAGTACAGTAGAAATCAAAATAATGTATTTGAAGAACATTTGTTATCAATCTCACCATTGTGTGAATGGTCAATCACATATTTTCAGGAAGTTTTGGATAGCTTTCTTTTCTTCATAAATTTAAAATGTTCAAAACTGCATTTATCTTTACTATGTTTATTTTTGCCTAATATAAAAATTTGTTTGAGGATTTAAAAAATGTGTGAATATGTGCAAAGATATAAGAAAAGATAATGAAACATTTGTGTTTCTCAGTTACAACTAAAATCAGTGTCCAGTGAGTAGGGACAGGTAGTGTCACAGTATAAGACACAATTTCTTGTTTTATGTATTATAAGCAGTGTTGGGCAAGTTACTTTAAAAAAGTAATTAATTATAGTTACTAGTTACTTCTTCAAAAAAGTAACTGAGTTAGTAACTGAGTTACAAGATTCTAAAAGTAATTAATTACTTGAAAAGTAACTATTGCGTTACTTTAAAAAAAATGTTTAACCCTCTGGGGTCCAGGGTATAATTGGCCATTTTTAACTACTTTTGATTTTACCTCTACATTTCACCTTTAAAAACTATTTACTTTGCCTTGTTTGGTATCATCCTTTTCAGCACAACCTCACGTGTCTGAATTTACAGTTATGTTTTCATTTTGACATACTGTA